CAGAGCCAGTCTGTGCAATGCCAACCATGTCCATGCCACTGAGAGCCAAAGGCCAACCCTGAGCCTGGATAGGTGTTGGTTCAGTCCAGTTCTGTTTGTTGATGACCTCCATCACATAAGCTAAACAAGTAAAATATGGAAAACTGCTCAATGACATCCATTTTCTACTAAAGATTTTTTGGTACCTTTTTCTTACAAACTTACAGGGAAAGCTTGCTTCATGGAACTGAGTTATGGGATTTGGGCAGTCCCTCCCCTTCACTGTAATAGTTTTGGACCTTCTGTATTGCTCAGCTTCTTGCTGCAAATTAAAACAAAGAGTTCAGTGGTCAGAAATGATCATAAAGCACCAACATATACACAGAAACCTACGTATATTGCTGCTCCATAACCTATACATACCAGTGATCTACAGGCGACATCAGGATGCTGCTGATAGAAGTTTTTCTCAAACTTTGGGAGCTCATCCAGGTTCCAGTGTTTCTTCCTCAATCGCTCACCTGGATTGCCAAACTTTCCTCCACCTCCACTCCGGCTACCACCGAATCGGGGTGGACCACCGCCATAACTGTAGATTTAAAAAACATAACTTATTAGCATTGAGAATCCCTGTTAATTTCCAAGATTTAAATTCTTTTAGTTCCAATTAATGCAATTAAAAGAACTCTTGGTCCAACTAAACTGTGTTTGTGATGAGTGCAGTATTACAAATTGACCTTGGAAGTATTTTTAAGTGGCTTTATACCACAATTGTCTTGCTTTAATGCATGAGCTTTTTTAACCAGATCCCATATTGTAAGTACTACAAATAATATCAGGTAGAACAAGATGTTCTGACTCTGGAAAATAAAAATCATCATGACACCATTAGAATAATGGAAAGTCCTCAAAATTAAGCTTTTTAATAAAAACTTGACTGTAAATGTCTTTTTTGATGTCAGAGTCCTTTGTTGTTATACCAAACGGGGAAAAGATTAAAAAGAAATTATGACAATATGAGGGAAAACACTTGAAATGGTTAAATTAAAAAATAAGCGAGGTACGCCTTGTTTTATTATTATTGTAGAACTAAAATGGTGGCAACAAGTAGTTTTAATGCGTTCACAAGTTTGAAACCAAATACCTAATCTTCGTATCATTGGAAAAGTTAAAGCCATTCCTAGAGACAGAAATCATTTGACTTTTTTTATTGGCATACTTAAAAAATTAATCGGATTGGGTCGAGGAAACTATTGAGTACGAGTCCTTCCAACCAGATGAGAACAATTGGAAAGAAAGGAACGAGAGAGAAAAAAAGAGCCGTGCCGGCATTTTGTGTCCGCTTTCCAACGCCGCCACATGGCGAGAAGCCGACTAGCCAAGTTAGCGTCATATTAGCAGTGTTCCATAACCGTATCTTCGCCACAAATAAATACCGGGCATAACGCCAATCCGAAGATCAAATAAACGCCAGAAACCATTAAAACGTTTTCCATGATGTTGGTTTACTTTTTAAGAGCTCACAGTAGTGGCTAGCCTTGGTGCCGGTTGAGCAAAAGTTAGCCTCTAGCTAACGAAACGCAGCTGCGCCGGGGCACGAGGCCAAACAAGGCCTCAGGCTAAATGAAGCGAAGAAAGACTCAAAACATTGACGTTCTACCGATAAAAACACCTAAACTACCTTTGTGTGGTAAATGTGGTGACTTCAGGAAGTCTAGTAGCCCCCAGCAACACTTTTTAAAAATTATCTTAAGTGTCGTCAGCCATGTCACGCGACAGTGAAAATCTTCAAACAATAAGTACAAAACAAATAACGGACTTACCCTCTGTCTCTATCTCTGCCGCGGTCTCTGTCTGAATATCCAGGCATATTGTGAACAAAACGTACGAATTAAAAAAGTATATAAATACAAAGCGGCCTCGGCGTCGGATAGAAAACAGGGCCGGCAGTGGTGCTGAAATGCCGGTTACCGCGAAATGAGGCCCGGTTTATATATGGTCCAAAAAGTCTCACTTCCGACGGATTCATCCGCCGCACCAGTTTCGACCCCAGCATTTCCTAAAAAAAAACGCGAAAAGAACAAAGAAAACTGACTTTTATATGACTTTCACCGTAAAATCGAATTACAGTCTTTATTCACTGGTGTCGCTGCACTTTTAATTTCCCATACAAGGGAAGACAAGAGCGTAAGTGTCTCACAACCACACACACAAAGAGAAAAACGGTGTATACGCAAAATGTCAGCGAATATAATTCAAATCTACTGTAATTAAAAAGCTTGGCGAAAACAACAAAGCAATTTTTATAAATATTCGTTTGTTGAATATTATACATGGTTAACTTTATGGCTTCACTGCAACGAATGTTGGCGGAAGAATATGTACCAGACAGAAAAAGGGGTAATACGACCTACTTCCGATGCCTACACATATTACAGTAAATGACGCAATCAGGACCAACCCAGTTTTTTATATATATATATTTTACAATATTTTGATTCGAAGAAAATATTAACGTTTCATAAAAATTTCAGAAATTTTGTATTTTGTTTTAGTGAAACCTCTGACATGCGTCCCTCGGTGCCTTTTATTGCTAATCCTAGCTTTTTCTTATTACGTGTTTTTATTATTATTTTACCTGACCTCCAGAAAGTATACGCGGTGTAAAAACAAAATGATACATGGTGGTACTTTTTATGCAAATCTGAAAAGTGTGGTGAGTATTTGTTTCTGGCTTCTTTTCCTCAGATATCCCTAAGTAAAATAAAAGTACAATACATTGTTTTCATAAGTCACCTAATTAACCAATAAAGTCAAAATGAAAGAAGAATATTAGCTGATTGAAGTTTGTCACCAAACAATAGATGGGATAAAAATGCCCTAAACTTCTACTTCACAATTATACACCACTCTTTCCAATCACAAAATTTCAGTAAAATGGATTAAAAATTTGTGGCTGTTGAAAAAAGGTTGAAATACCCTAAAAAATATAAATAAATAAAACTCACTTAAATTTAAAAAACAAACGCCCAACCAGATTAAATAACCCTTAAAAATTCCACTGCATTCTATTTTGACTCCATAAAGTCAGTGTTTCTCTTCATGCAACAAATTTCACACTGAAAAAAAGTATTAGATCATAAACCACGATCAACATGAAATCGATACTTTGGTCAGTATCGATTTTCTTGAGACAATTCACATTGATGAAACAAAGAGGCCGTAATCAACACCTCCCTCCTCCCCCTCCAAAAACAATCCTGCTCCTTTTCAGCCGTCTGGTATCCGCGAGTACCAGTGATAGATTGGACCATCTGAACCACTCCGTCTCTTTACAGTTGAAACTGAAACCACTCACAACCTTTGTTAAGCTAATGAAGCGTTTACGCGTTCCTCTGACGGACGTAGCCCAAGAAAACTCAGGACGTGTTGCTGTACAAGGCCTTACATTGTTAGACAAAGGCAAGTTTAATTCAAACTAATTACACACAAAAATAAGATGCTCTTACAAAATGATAGTGTTAACATACATAAAATTGCATCAGTCGGCTATGAGAAGTATAGTCCTGCTAGTGGATCATGCTGTTTGGGGAAGAAGAAAAAAAAAAAATCTCATAATTTTGACCTTTTTTTTTTTTAAATAAAAAGGGGCTCTGCTTTGCCATTAAAGCAGCTGGGATCAGCTTGTGCACTGGACTTTTTTTTTTTTTTTTTTTAAAGGTGAATTCATAAATGCTGCATTAAATACTCACAGCAACCTCATCTTGTTTGTGTGCAATTCCTCTTTGCAGATCGGAATTAAAACAAAACCAAAGAAATTCTACTTAAGTTAAAGATAAATTACACTTTGTTTGATCCACATATATGAACAACATCTTATTACTGTACAAAGCACCATCTGAGGACACTTTTTTCACTTTGCAAACGTTTGTGAAAGTTTGTTTTTCTTTCTTCTTTTTTTAAGTGTATGCAAATGATAAGAACAGTCCACGGTCTTAGAGATTGCTCAACAGGCAGCATCTTTGAGAAAAGAAAAAGACATTCAAGAATTTTACATTTCAACCGTGAAAACAATAAACCGAACAAATCCCCATCTTAGATAGGACTGAATAATTCATTTGAGTTCATCTCATTCAGTCGACTTTCAAGCCAAAGCACATACGGACACATGCAATAAAAAAAAAAAAAAAAAAAACTGCTTTTGAAAAATGTTACTCGTCTGCTGTGAAAATACGAATGCAAAAGACATTTTTTAAATCTTTCAACATTGAGAAAGTCAGGACAAATGGCCAGCATTAGTTTTAAATATTACAAACTACATATGGCAGCTCCTGAGGATGTGGCCAATAAGAGCTCTTGTGGGCCACAAAACAGGCATACGCATGAGTAGAGTGATGTGCACTTTAAGCAGTAGTATGTCAGTGAGCAGGTCTGCTAATATATATTTTTATATATATATATATATATATATATATCAAAAGTAAATGCTATTTAGCACCACATGGCTGAAAGGTAGTAGAGGTTTCTTCTTTACGTGTAACATGGAGGCGGCACAAAGCGGATAACGATGAACTCTGTGCTCTTCAGTCAAATCGTTCAATACGTTTAAGATCACCGTCAGTTGCATGAATATAGTCCAGCTACAAATGATACGAAACTCCAGGATGGAAATGATTAAGAACAACAAGAAAAGAACTGGTAGATTTTTAAAGGGTCAGCAAAATATTTTGCAAAAAGTTTGTTGATTTCCAAAAATGATTATGGCACTTTTCTTTTTTGCCTTTAGGACGAGTTTCTCTCAATGTAAGTAGTAGAGATTCTGTCCAAATTAACCACAGCATATACTTCCATGAAATTCAGTCAAGCTTCCACAAACTGTCTCCCATAATTTAAGCAACAAAAATAAAAAAAATAAAAAAAAATAAAAAACAGGGCAACATTTCAAAGATTTCCCCCCCCAGAAAAGGTGGAAAAAAAAAAAAAAAAAAAGGGGGTTTCTGGAAGAATAGCAATAAATTATATATATTACATAGAATTTTATTGTTTCTCTTTTGTTCCCCCCACCCAAAACCCCAAATGTTATACAAAATAATAAAAAAATATCACATTTCAGGCATTTCATTCATTTACTCGTTTCCAAACACAACTAGCTCTTGAAATGTGCGGATCAAGGTTTCAGGGTGCCCAGGCCCCTGCGTGTCTTTGGAGGAGGTTGTAAACAGTCGGTTGCAGCTCAGTATGTGACCTTCCCTTCCTCTTCTGCTCACAGGTCGCCTCCGTGGCAACGCCGACGGGCCCCGCGCGGTCGCTCGGAGGCTCCGGTTTATCTGCATCCGGATTTAGTGTGACTTGCGACTGTCGAATGCTTGTAAAAAAACATAAAAATAAAAAATAAAAAAAATAAAAAAAATCCTTGCTTGCGGCAAACAAAATCAGTCATTTATAAATGTGATTTTTGTCGCGTTCTGCTGGGTAAAATGACGAATTGCTACGTGGAATAAAGTCTGTTTTTAAATGCTGAAATAAAAAAAAAGCCAGCAAAATCTGAAGGTTCCACAAGTTAGTAAATAGAGTTATTAGCAGCTGGAAATATCCTTTTCAATGATTAAAAAATGATATAAAGGGAAGAAGGCTTTTTTCTGGTGTTCTTCCCGTCTTTTAGTTTGGCTACATGTCAGAGTATGAATCCTTCCCTCCCCGCCCCGGACCGAACGCCTCGCTCTGGAGTCGGTGGTTTGCTGAGGTCAAACCCCCCGGGAGCTTCTGGTTGTTGCCGAGTCCTGCAGGCGTCGACCGTTCACTCCACGGCGAAGCCACACGTCTCCTCGATGGCAGTGAGCAACTTGTCGTACAATTTGTCGTAGGTTTCATAGGGAGGAATGTCGATTCGGTTGAAACTGGAGGAAAGACAACAGAGTCAGTAAAAAGTAGTTTGAAGGCGACGGCATCTCCCGCGCTTACTGACAGCCCCGTTATTAAAGACGTGTAAAATTCAAAATAAATTCAGTGTTTGTTTTTGGACATTGGAAAGTCCACCTTTAAATTTAAGTGAAGCTTTTCCAAAAGCATGTTTTCTTGGTAAATAACTGATTTCAACAACAAACTACCAGCAGCAGTTTTTTAATGCCCTTTTCCTACATCCAATGAAAAAAGTTCACCCACTGCCACTGGTTTTAGCTGTCAAGTTGTCAACATAACGCGCTAAATCTTAAATGTACGTGTAATATATAATTAATTGTCAACTCTCTTACAAGCAGATAACACCCAGTGGTATCAGATTACACAGGTAAAGAAAAAGTTTCAATTAAAAAAAAGTGAGGGTGAGAGAAGTAGGTCGCTCATGCTAGCTTGACTTTGACGATCTTAACACGTAGATGTGCTGCTGAATTTGGTGTGTTTTGGTTCAGTTAAAAAAAATAAGGCGACCCACACACCGACTCTCTGGACCCACACACGACCAGCTCACTATGGTTAACTTTCTAAGCCTAAAATGAGAATATGTACATTGTCTCAAACCAAACATGTCTGAAGATTCTCTATTTTCCAGGTTTTACTATTCAAAGAAGAAGTCATTCTGTTTCAAACGTTAGAAACTTTAATCTGGTTGTGCTTGCGTGGAAGGATAATTCATAGTTACAGTATGTACAAACCTCCTGGGTTTTAACCAAACATCGTTTGCTTGTTATTTAGACTGAAAGTTGCTGCTGAGCTCACCACTTTTTGACTTCACTCATGTTTGCAACTCTGCATTGTTGACCGCAGTACAAGACTGCTTTTAAGTCAAAATAACTAATGCAATCAATCTGCCTTATGTAATATTAACGCATTAAACCCTTTTAGATTAATCCAATAATGTTGACGGGCCTAATTTTTGTTCAGAATCTCTTGGTATTTCAAAGTAATGACGCCATATACTCAAGGTTGCCATGAATTTTATAAAAGCAACGACCCACAGCTTCACAGATCCTCTACCGTACACGACAAGGTGTGCTTTTTTCCCCCAATAATCAACTATTGATAAGAGTTACTGGAATTACTGGAAATTCTGATCAAAAATGTAAAGTTTAAATAATAAAAAAGTGTTTCAGATACATTCATTTCCTAAGAATTTTACTTGCCAGTACAGTATGGTACAAATGATTTTATAACAAGCAAAACACTTTAAGACCATTAAATAATTGTACCAAAAATAAATTGTGCTGTGCATTTAAGGAGATTTATAAAAAAGATCTTTAGTATCTTTACGAAGGGTGCCAACAATGTGGAGTTTGCTGTGTTTCCCTCTTAAGTTTGACTCTAATCAATCCTAAAAGTGAGAATCTGCCCGCTGATCCCTCACCAGGTGTGGGCTTTGGGCAGGTTGTTGGTGCTGGCATCGATCTGGTGTATGGTGAAGAGTCGTGGTCCTGCAGCGCCTGCAGAGGGAAGCATTTAGAAAAATATTTTAATAACAGTCTCTTCTTCAGTTTGTTGTCCTACTACCAACTCGAAAGGTTTGGGTTTATTTATGTAATTTACGACATTCAGACCAGAGTTCAGATCAGACATCAGTGTGATAAGCTCAGCATAGAAAAAAAAAAGTCAAGGAAAAAGTTAAAATATGTATAAGAAGATATTGTTCTGTGTAATTTCTAACCTCATTAGTAAAGTTAAAGGGGCATTATTATGTAAAATTAACTTATTTTTAGCTTTACATCCTGTTATGATGTTATTCCCTCATGGAAAACATACCTGGAGCGTTGAATTGATTCATGCTAGATAAATCCTTTTACCTCCTGCAACCATTAGCTGTGCAAAACGCCTGGGTGGACCTAGCCCCGCCTTCGATGTGCTCCTTCAGACTAGCCTACAGCAATTAGCAAACACCTGGTGGATCTGCACATCTGCTGAACTCGTTATAGAAGCTACTTCTCAGTCCAACGTTGGTAAAATGTTGTTAAAGGATTAATGAGGAGGAGCCATGTTGTGATGTTTTCCTGAAGGTGGAGTTTCAGGAGCTTCTTAACCTGTTGGTCTCAGGTTGTCATTCACAATGACAGGGGTGTCAAACTCCAGTCCTCAAGGGCCGCTGTCCTGCAGTGTTTAGATGTGCCACAGGTAAAAAACAGTGGAATGAAATGGCTTAATTACCTCCTCCCTGTGTAGATCGGTTCTCCTGAGCCTTGCTAGTGACCTAATTATTATTTTCAGGTGTGGTGCAGCAGAGGCACATCTAAAAGTTGCAGGACAGAGGCCCTTGAGGACTGGAGTTTGACACCTCTGTCACGAGAGGACCCAAATTTGGGTCCTCTCGTGACAGACAGGTTAAAGAGACAGAGGCCCAATTTCAAGGAGTTAAATTACATTACAAGTCAAATTCATTTGAGCCATATTTGATATACACATAACTTTCTTACAGCAACTGAAGGTGACATTGTAACTTGATATAAAATGAATCTACGTGCCTGGAAGCGACATAATGGCGCCCCTTTCACATGCTAAAGGTACTTTGAATTATGTGGACATGGATCCAACCATTAAACCATCAACAGTTTCAACTAAGAACAGCTGAGTTTGCCCACAAACAAGAATGTTTATCTGACAGAAACGGAAATATTTATGCCACCATTAACATGAAGCAGATTAGATGCAAACTGTGAAAATCTTAAGAAACAGAAACATTTACATAACAATTAATATGACCAACAACAGGATTTGGTAAATGAAGCATTAACATCATATTCTTTACAATTATCTATGAAGCCTATAGCAAACAAGCTTTATTTAAGAAAAAAGGTGAAAAATTGAAGAGACGCGATCACAAGATGATCCCCTTTACTTTGACGGCATGACTGAAGTCCCACTCTGTTTATGAAATCTGTTTAGCTTCCGACTTTTGCTGATGTTTGGCCCAAGATAAGACAGTCATGTTACCAGAGGTCTGCCAGTGGATCATCTTTTAACCGTCATGCCTGGGTGGCTCAGTGTCTGGGCAGAGCCGACTGCCAGGATGGACCCACTGGAGCACAGAGGGTTCATCCCAGAGCAGAACAACCCAGAGACACACGGAGCCAAACACTCCTCAGTGTCAGAGAGACCGAGATCAGCAGCAAGAGCCGAACCGCTTCAGCTCCTCCATTCAAACTAATTAACCCTTTAACCGCCACCCTCAAAACACTGACAGGTTAGTCAATGGGGTCATGAGGACGCCGGCGTCGTCATGACAGTGAAGGGGTTTAAACATCGTGAACATTTTTTGTGCAAATGTCATATTTTCCCATATTAAAATTCCAGACTCGTTTCTTCTTTTTTTATAGCAATTTTAATGAAGTGCGTAGAAAAATGCACCACAAATTTATGGAAAACAGTAGCAAGACTAAATGTGAAGAAAAGAAGATAAGAAAATAAAAGAGAGAAAGAGAAAGATGAAGAGAGAAGAAAACAGACATTAAAGAGAGAGGAAGAAGGAAAGAAGTGAGGGAAGAAAATAAATCAAAAGAAAAAGTGAGAGGAAGAAAGAGGAGGAAGGGAAGAATTAAAGAAAGGAGGAAAAGGAAGAAACAGAAAGAAAAAAATACACAAGAACAGAAGAAAAAATAAATAAACACAGAAAGAAAAAAGGAAGAAGGAAAACAAGAAAGGAAGAGATAGAGAGAGATAGAGAAAGACAAGAAGAAGAAATTGAAAGACAGACAGACAAAGGCCAGGGGGAATAAATTTCAAAGTATGGCCCCATAATTATATTTTCCTTTTCCATCCCTGTCCGGACCTGGAAAACCCACAATGGTTACCTCTCCAGACGCCGTAGCAACCATCTATACGTCTCTATCTACCTTGAAGGGCCTTGAACCCCTGCAGGGGAACCCTGGAGGATCCGGTGACAAACTGCAGCAGTCGGGCCCGGCGCTCCTCGTCGAACGACTCCACGGCCTTCCAGAACCACTTGACGATGCTGGTGTCCGGCGTGCAGTGCTTCAGCCGCGTATTGGACTTCCAGTCGTTGATGTCGATCTTCCCCAGGCCGCACACGATCAGCTGCAGCGGGGGTGGAGACGGCGGGGTTACCGCATCGGAATCAAAAAAGGCGGCCGGCGGACTCGAGCGACGTACCTCCAGCTCCTTCTCGTCGAAGGCCTTGAGCAGGTGCTGGGGGATGACCTCGTTGAAGCCCTTCTGCAGCGCCAGGAACTGCGCCTCGATGCCCCGCAGGAAGCGCCAGTTGACGTAGAGGCGGACGTACTCCTTCTTGTTGTCCTGGGAGACGGGGATGTTCTTGCCGTTGGGTTTGAGCTCGTGCTGGATGATCTCGCCGTACGCGTTGTGCTCCACGCAGAAGGTGTGGTCCAGCACACCTGTGATGTCATTGTCCCTGACGGTAGAATCGCATTTCAAATTGTTGCTCGGCAAACAAAAAAAACAACAAACGGTGACCAAAAAACCTGGACGTACAGGATCCAAACCAGGCTGTTGTGCAGGTCGGGGTCGACGGACTCCATGTCGTCCAGGGTGATGGGTTTACCCAGCAGCTGCTTGTAGAACGGGAGGGTGAAGCCGCCGTCGATGTAGTGGCCGTGGAACACAGCCATCCCCATGATGCGTCCTACGAAGTGGAAGTACGACAAATGCTCCTGCAAGGCGGTAAGAAAAAAAAACAACAACATTCAGGCTGGGTGTTAGACAAGCTGATCAGGGTTCGTACTGTCGAACCCTGTAGAAAAATTCAATCATTTCTTAACATTTTACATATATATTTTTCTTACTTTATTTTATCCGTTTTTCTCATTGGTGGAAACAAAGACACTCTAGTTGCAACACAATCAGCCTGAAACGAGGGCTGGGAATTTATCGTATCGGTTATCAATTATTGTGATGCAGATACATCACTGTCACAACAAATTCCAATTAATAATGTAAATATTGTCTGGATTGTTATTTTTAGAATCTTCTCCACTGTTTGCTCAATGAGAGAATCAATAAGCATCATAGAGTTCATTAGAAAACAGTGCAGATAGAATATCAACCACTTTCAAGGACTTTATACAGAAATCAAGCGCTTTCCAAACCTTGAAAAACATCTTTTTGAAATTCCAGGATTTCAAGCGCCCGTACCAACCCTGAGTGATGCAGAAGCAGTTTTACAAGTCCGTTCTACCTAAACGGGAAAGCTTCAGTTCAACAGACTGATGCTAACTTGTGATAAAGATGTGAGAGATAAAATAATGTGTTAACTCTGACGGTGTCTGATCTGCTTTGAATCGAAAGCAGTTGATAGAAGTTTCACACTTCAAGCATGATATTCTTTGTTTTGTCTACAAAGACGGTTCCTTTTTCAGAAACATGTCTTTTCAGTCTTTGCTTTAACACAACAGTCCCGACTCTCATCTTCACAATAAACCGGTGAAAATGGAGTTTGATACGAATGGGATTCCCCCAGAAGAGTTTCCCCAAGTGGGCCGGGTCTTAGCGGAAAGCTCCGTTTCTGCTGCTTTCATCAGCCTGCGACTTACAGGATTCACGGCGGAGTCCGGGTTGATCTGCAGCGTGTAGATGTCGTCGCGGGAGTACTGGAACAGGCCGTAGTACGGGTTCAGCATCTCATGTGACAGCAGGTAGAGCCACTCCCTGCAGGCGAAGCACACAGAGCTCAGACCAGGAGGTGGAATATGTTCAAAAAACATAAAAACGCCTTCTGATGAG